CGGGTGCAATGCCATTGTCACCTGAGCTCTCCTCTCACCACAACCCTGCTTCACCCCTATCCACACATCTATCCACAACAAAGCCAGCCCCACCCCCCACTCCAGCCCAGCCTCACATCTACTTCACAGCTGATCAGGTGAGAAATCAGCACAGTTCCTGAACTGTGGAAGACTTCCTGTGTGGTTCCGGTGCCAAAAATCGCACACCCCAGGGAGCCCAACCACTTCAGGTCTGTTGCCTTGACTTCTCATCTGATGAAGACCATGGAAAGGCTCATCCTGCACCACCTTCGGCCACTGGTGGCCTCAGTGTTGGACCCCCTGCAGTTCGCCTACCATTCTGGAATTGGGGTGGATGCACGGACAGGGACAGGAGCAGGATTGACTATTGATTATCTTATCTTATCTTATCTTATCTTATCTTATCTGATCTTATCTGATCTGATCTTATCTGATCTGATCTTAAATGGCCCACCCTGCACATATATGATTGGAAAAATTATGTTGACTTGATTTTTGGATGTTAATGATGATGATGAAAACTCTTCAGCATCATTTTGATTTTTGCTCTTCTTTTTTGAGCAAATTCCTGCTTTTTAAAGTTGAACAGTAACAATAATGAGCTCCAGATTTTTCTAAACCTTGTGATTCCTCAATCCGACCACTAGATGGAGCCAGAGACCTGGAAGAATTGAGTCCCGTGTGGAAGCTTTTATTATGGAGCGCAGAAACACTGACCGGTTTTCTCGAGTCATCTTTTTGCTCTCATGTTAGCTTCTCTGTGTAATTTGTTGTCATGAAAAAATGTAATTAAGATTATAATTATTTAATTGTTATTTATTTAATCATGATTAAATTAAACATTCTTTAAAAAATATCCTCCAGATAGTTTTGAGTCTAAATTTAAAGTAAAATATTTGCACTCAGATTTTTATTGCCAGCTTTATGCCTAATGAAACACAGGTTCTTGTGTTGTGAGTGACTAGAAAGAGTTGTGTCCCCACAACAGTAGCAATACAAGAACACACTCACACACACATTCCTCTGCTGCTGGACTTTTAAACTCACCGTGTTTTAAAAAAAAAAGAAAAGGCATCCTGAGAGCAAACACTCAAACCGAAGAGGAAATGAACACATTCCTGAGTCTGCTGCAGGAGCGCTGTTACTCACAGTGTGTGTGCGCGCTGTTTACAGAAGTCTGTAGATGAAGACATGCAGGTTTGACCTTTGACACCAATGACCTAACTCATGGATGTGACGTCACAATGAGATGAATTTTAAGGAGGGTGATGTAGTTCAATTAAACCAAAGTGTGTTAATCGACACTGATGTTTAAATTAACACAAATAATAACAACACTGTCAGATGTTTCAGCACAGCCAGCGTTAACGCAAACGCTGAGTGACTGTGTTGTTACACCAGTCATATCATAACATCAACCTCTCATCTGACATAGTTTTTCAAATTATAATAATTTAAAAAGAAAACTGTGAAACTAATGAAAACCAGCGTGAAACATGCAGACTAGTTTATTCTTTGCTAACGTGTCCATCGGGAACCCTGAATTCACATAATTTTGTAGTCTTTGCCATCTTTATTGAAATTATGATGTTATAGCTGTGTCCCAAAACGTCGGCTGCATCCTCCAGAGGCCGCATTTGAAGGCCGATTACGTCACAGCCAGGCGACGAAGGCTGTCCCAATTCGTTTGAAGGATGGGTCGGGTGTGTCGTTCGTGGCCCACCATATCCCAGAATTCATAGCGCGGCCCAGCCAAA